CAATCTTGTAACCATAGTAACTAGATTAGAAAGTATTCCCCAAATGTTTTAAAATTCTTTTATTCTTATTAGCAACATCAAACATTGAAGAAATTATGGTAAATTATTGTTTTCCAGTTTTCCAAGGCATTTGCAACTTGTGTGATTCTTCTGAAAGTCTTAAGTAAACAGGTGTATTTTAGCAAATTTTTCCAATAAAATTCTATTAGCTGAAAGAAAAATGTGTTCTGTTGGAATTGTTTATGTGAATGTCAGTATTCTTTAAAAAGGGAGGGCTGAAGAGACACCTCTCAGACAAAGAGACAAATTTGAAGTGCTGTTTTCACTTAATAGTTTGTTAGGACATCAAATACACATCCTTTAATGAGAATTAATGTGCTGTAGCTTAATAATTCATGGGCATGCAATGAAAGCCCTTTCATTTAATGGAGTGCTGCTCTTTTCATTGCTTCCACTGCTGAGGTAGGTTGGTGTTTTTCCCTGAAGGTCAGGAGTGTGCCATTCCTCCATGAATTTAATCAGATGTTAAACCCTGACACCTCCAACCATCCAGGCCCAGCTCAGCAGGGTTTTACACATTTTCAGGAACACCAGAGTAGCAGGAAAACTGGAGGTGTCTGTTCTGTCAGGATCAGAAGCAGCTGTGTTATGCAACTGTGATCACATATTTATCAAATATTGTCTTCCCTCCTCAGTGTTGCTGGTGGAAATTAATTCCTCTTCTCTGGGTACCAGAAACTTTTCTTTTAATCTTATGCCAGAATTTATATCCATTAGTTATTACACCAGTGTATTCCTTTCACTTAAATCATCTGGATTTACAGAAAATGCTTGTGCTAGGCAGAGCAAATTGAGCTCATATATATTTCTGCCCAGTCTTACCATACCTGGACTATAACTTGATTTTTTCTCTAAACCCAATCTTTGCTTCTTGATGGATTTCAAAGAGCTTTATTTATTGCCTAAGTGCTATTCATAAATAACACCCTTTTCCACTTGTTCACTTTTCTGCCTTGCTTGCTTCTTTTTTCTATATCCTCATCTGTGGATATGCCTTTCCCACATGGAATTGCAGACATATTTTAGAAGAATGCTCTCCTTTTATGCCATCAGACTTGTTCAAGGAATCAGAATTCCTTGTGTCTTTGTAATTCCATCTCCTCTCTGACAAAGTTCCCCACCCACTTCTTCAGCAGTCACCAAAATATTTTTGTCTTCTGGACAAGCCAAAATTCTTGCTGATGACCATTTCCTGTTTTCTGACCATGCTCTGGCACAGCACAACCATTGCATTTGATGTGGTGATGATTTGAAAACAAACAATGGGATATTAAAAAATTAATCCTTAAAAATCCAGTAAACGTTTCCTGTAGACCCCATGCCTAATTCCATTATGAGAAATGCATTCTTTTTCTTCCACATCATTTTTAGTAACTGAAACAAAGATTCAGGTCAATACTTGGGATTCAGACCTTTCCCAGCTGAAAGCAGCTGATGAGCAGTCACGCAGATCCCTCTCGTGGTGTTGGAAAGGTTTTGGGGTTTCTGTAAATCATTCTCTTCTCTGTGAGCACACACCTTTATCTTCCAGGTTTGGACACCCATCCTTGCCAGGTCCTTTCCTCCTCCACTTCTCTTTAGACTCCCTCTCTTTTTCTGCTTAATTTTCCAGCGGTACCAAAAAACTTCTTAATTCAGCTTTTGTTCAGTGCTCCTCTATTATATCTTCCTCTAACCTACAAACCTTCTCTCTGGATCCTCTTCCCAGGCTGAGAGATCATGATCATCTCTTTTGACACTTCAATTTTTTGCCTGAAGTTTGACATTTTTTTACAGCTGCTTTCTTAGTCCATGGCAATTCTCTTCTGTGAAGCATGCAATTTATGGTATATAAATAGTATAGCCGCTCAAAAATACCAGCTTGCAGCAGTTTTTCACATCCAGTTTTCTTCAGCTTCCTCCTTTCTTCAAGTGTTTTTCTACTGCTGCTTTAACAGGCAAGATGCATTTGCTCTTTGCCTTAAATTCACATTTCAGAAGAGGAAAAAAAAAACATTTCCTCATAGATCTTAAAAATTTTTATCCTGTTTGCAAGCCTGGACCACTTCTAGTCTTGAGATTTTGTTGGGGTCAGTCCTGTCATGCAAGTGCAGCTAACAGCCAGATCAGGGGCAGGAAATATAGAAAGTTTCTGATCTAAAATACCTGATCCAACCCTATACCCTTTCCAAAAGAAAAAATAGACAAATAACAACAAAAAAAAATTCTTAGGGGAAAAAAAAAATAAAGTTTTGGGTTTGATTTATTCAATAATTTCCTGCAAAGACTCCTGTGTACCTCTCTCTGTGTTCTGCCCTTCACTGAGCATAAAATGTCCTGCCAATTTTCACCAGGCTTCCAGATTTTACCTGCCAAAAATTGCAATATTCATTCTTATGCAGGACATCTCCTTTAAACTGAAGAATAGAATCCTTGATTCACCATTTGTCCATCCGTAACATGAAGAGCAAATCCTCTGAGCCTGGATAAACACAGTCTCACTTTGCAGGTGTCCTTCTCTTCTGAAGTGTGGAAAAAGAGCTGGGACTTGTTGAGCATCTCCATAATTCCCTTTATGCTCCTTGGGGTCAGCATTAGTGAGGATTAAACCTCAAAAAGCACCATCCTCAGCTGAAGTGTGTCATTGTTTGCACATGCACAGAACCACCACTCTAAATTAGTCTTAGAAAACATTTCCATGGTGTAGTGGAGAATAACCTGCCAGTGGAAGTACAAAATAATCCTGCATCCCACTGCTTTGGATTTCATTTGACTTCATGTGGACAAATAAACCAGAAAAGCAGCATATGGAGAGAGACTAAAAATTGAATATCATATCCCAGTGCTCTATCAGCAAGAGCTAAACAAAACACATCAATAACAGTCAAGAGTTGTAGCCTGGGCCATCTGGTCACAAAGGTTGTATTAAAATGTTTTAATCTCAGGGTTCTCCCTCGGGCACAAAGGCACAATATGTAAAACCTTAAATCCTGCTTAAAGGTGAGATTTCTCCACCTACAAGCACAGCAGGCCTAGGATAGTTATTTAATTAAGAGCTACCCTAGTGAAGGGTGTGGAAATGGCAAGGCAACAATCCAGTTCCTGAGTGGGGATGCTGGAAAGCCAGGAACAGCACAGAGAACAGGCTTGACACATGTACCTCCTTGTTAACCTAAATACTAATTGAATTTTTTCTAATTAATTTGAACAAAACTCTATTTTCACTTGTCCAGTGCAGTATCCCCTTCCTGATATACATATATCAAAATTCATGAAGAAAATCCTCTAAAATTCCTATTTTTTTCCTTTATGATGTGTTTCCTAACTGTGAAATAAAACTCAATTAATTGTCCTCCCCCTGCTCTCCTCTTTCCACACATCTGCCCAGCTCCCCACTAAGTGCTAATCAGCATTTCACCTGTTGGCTGCTGCAATCACTTCCAAACAACCTTGTGCAATTCCAGCCAGCACAGCATGGGGTGGAGAGCAAGAGGAAATCAGAACAAATTAATAAACCACATTGGTAATTTGCTAAAGCAGGGGAAAGTAAGGGAAAATAAGAAAGAAAGGGAAAATAACACACTGGAAACCTGACTTCCATGTGAACACCCAGACAGGATCACATGGTGGCACCACACAGAACAAGTCAGAAATCTGAAATTATCATTGTCATCCATTCCATGCAGTCAGGAAAGCTTCACATTCCTTCTCATTTTTGAAACTGTTATGACATGCAAATTACTCATTCTCTGGATGTTTTGCCTCTTCCCCAAAACACCATAGAAACCACGCAAATCTGCAATGTCCTTCTGCAGGGGTCTCAGCAGAGCAAAGGTGGCAAAGGGTTTTTTCATGAGGTTCAGGAAAAACCAACACCCAGCAGGAGCTGTGATCCATCAGTCCACGTGGCTTCTGAAGGTGAGCCCCAAAATATTTTGGAAGAGGGAATAAACACGTTCCTCACACTTCACAGAAGTGAGCAACTAAGTGAATTTTTAAAAATTCATGAAGCTATGGAAAGTTGATGATAAATTTCTAAATTTAAGGGAAGGATGAACAGCTTTTTCTCCAACTTGTGCAGGATCTGACACAGGTACAGGAACCAGAACTCTGAGTTGCTACAGACATTCATTGTGGTTACCAGGACCTCACAGCCTGTCGTGTGAAGATCTGTGACAAGTTAAAAAGACCTGAAATAGCTGCTTTTCTTTTCTGCATTGATTTTGACTGAATTTCTACCCTACCATCAGTAGGTCTGAGAGTCCAAACCTTTTTATTTATGCTTTGTTTAGCATTCAGTTGCAAATTACCACAGTTGACCTAGAATATGTCATTCCATTCTCTTAAATACCTCTAAAACTTCTGTCTCCCCTGACACATGCATAATCTCTCTTTCTGTTTGCAATATACTCCAGCCAAATTAATCATCTGCATTCCTAAATTGGAGCTATGCTGAAAAAAAAAATAAAAGATTGTAAAAATTATAACATCTCCAAGTATTTCAAGATGTTGATCATTTGCAATTCCTATAGTTTAAATATTAGTTGAGGACAGGTTTCTCAGGGCCTTTGAAAAGCAGCCTGCCAGATGCTCTCACATTTCATTCTTTTTTGCATCCTCTAAGGCACTTGTGATGCCCAAGAAGCACTTCAGGAACAGGGACAAATCAGGATGACAAAATGCCAGGAAAAAATTGCAGCACAAACAGGGCCTGGTTTGTCTCCTTGTGCCTGAGGAGCCCAGAACTCCCATCTTGAACTCCCCAAAAAAAATTCTTAATGAAGGAACTTCTACAGAGAGACTGCCTGAGATCCAAATATTCAGTGTTCACAAGTAGAAGGGGTGGAAGAGGGTAGGAAGAAATCTGGAATATTTCTACCAATTTGATGGGCACTGCAAAACTAGAAGAATAATAGATCAATTACTTAATATCAACATTTGATTGCATTTTGTTGACTTACCTTGCCAACTAATCTGGGGAATGGAGGTCTTTGATTTTCCGGAATTAGTATTGGAGTTGCCAAAATAGCCCTTTTTTGTCTTGGAATTCCAAGGCTGCCTTCTAGTTTTAAGATTTCCTGAAAAAGAAAAAGACCAATGATTAAAAAATCCAGATATTCAGTTGTTATTCCCTTTCCCGGCACCTTTAGGCAAAATTCCCATGAACCACCAGATTCTAAGTTTAGTATTGTATATTTTCCAGCAATTAGTGATAACATATCAAAGCATGCATTTCATCTTTCAGGTTACTGCACTTTTTCAGTGGCAGTAGACAGCCCTTATTGATTTTGTACTCATGAAAACAAGTTATAAACCTAAGGTGTGTCTACAATACTAAACTGATAGCTGATTATATCATAAACCTTTAGCAAGGACTGATTTACCTCAAATACTTGTGCAAGACCAGTAAAAAGCCACATTTCAAATGATTCTAGAGAATTTTCTCTAAAGACATATATGATGATATATCAGAAGACATAGATGAGGACAGGCACCATCTACACTCAGTCACTTCTCAGCCCAGGCTTTCAATCAAACAGAACAAAGTGAATTTGCAAATACAGTCCACAGGAAATGACCACTCAATAAACACCAAAAGCTTATAACTTCAAATCAGACACCAAAGCCCAGGTGTAACTTCAAATATGAGCTCGTAAGTTGCTGGTGTTGGATATTTTGCTGTGTTGGGGTTTGTTTCCTCTTAGAGAAAGATTCATGCTATACTCTGAGAAAGAATGAAAATAAAAGTTGTATTTACACAGGACTCCTTTTTCTCTGTATTTTCTGAAGCCTTTCTTTCTGTCTGAGCTTCAGGCAGTTCAGCACATTATGAGCTACAGTGAACTCTCCACAGTGGCCTCTGGCCCCTGGAAAACCCTGCCCAGCACACCTTTGCTTTCTCCTCCCTTCTGTCTCTGATCTGCTCTGCGCTCTCCCTACAGGAGCTGCAGCTTCCCAGAGACCACTCTGCTTCCTCTGCTTCCTCCCACAGCCTCTAAAACTCTCCAACACACTTACTGCCAAGGTCAGAAAAAGCCTCTCCCCATCTCCCAAAGCTCTCTCTTAATCCTTTTTTGGAAGAGAAAAAACAACAACAACAACAACAAACAAAAAGAAAAAAAAAAAACCCTCACAAAACAAACAAACACCCACAAACAAATGAAACAAAACAACCAAAACCTAACAACAAAAAAGTGCAGATTTGTAGTGTACTAGGAACTGTGGAACTGAAAAATATTTCAATCACTTCTTTTCATTTGGGTTGCCATGGCAGTTTTATTAAAAAATCACTGTTTGAATTAAATGTCTCATTCCAGTAAGGCAGTTATATCCTACAGATAACAATTTGCTCTCTTAGTGCACAAACTCCAAACCCCAAAGTTTTCAGCCAGTTCTGGAATCCATGTTGTTATTTTAACAACTGATTCTTCATTACACAATGAAGTCTCCATCCCTAGGCTGTGTTTTTATAAAATGTCAAAGCTGAATGAGTTTTTTTGGTGGCACAATCTGGATCCATCAGCCAAGCTCTCCACAGCTGCTCCTGCCTCCATCTGTGACAACTCCTCCCATCCAACAGGCCTCTCACCACAACTCTGCTCTGCCTCTGCTGGCTTTAGCATCATTTCTCAAATTTGACAACAAACAGGAGCAAGGGAAACTCAAGTTTTCACCAGTTTGCTTTAGTCATGATAAAGTCAAAGAGCAGTGGGAACCACACAGAGAATCCCTTCTCACAATGCTGCCAATTGTCATAACATTTTGAGGCTCCCCCTGTGGAGTTCCCAGCTCTCCCAAAGGCTTTGCCATTTCTCTCTAATCTTTCAGTCTGAAGGCCACTCAGGTCCCTGCTTTTGTCTTTCATCTCCTCTCCCAAGAGTTTTCCTTAATAAAAATTCATGAGAAAGTTCAAGATGGAAACAGTTGAAGTGTCAAATGACAAGAGCTGAATCCTGTCCAAGGGCAAATGCACAGAGCAGTAAAGCTTTCAAAACCCCACTGTGAACACAGAGGGGCTGGCACGTGCCTGGGATGATGCTGAGGAGCAGGAGTGACTCCCACGATGGCCACAAGGAAACCCCAGATCTTCAGCTCAGCAGCAGCAGCGTTTATCTGATCACACCTTTCAGGCCTGCTCTGCTCTTGTGGTTTCCTTCAGCTCAGGGAGATGGAGGGATTTGAACAAGACAAACCTGAATGTCTTGCTCGTTTGCAGACACCTGGGAGTCTTTGCATATGAACAAGATATTCAGATTTGCTTATCTTTGTGTCATGGAAAGGTTTGGGTTGAAAGGGACCTTTAAAAGCCATCTGGTCCTACCTGCAGTAAGCAGGGACATCTTCCACCAGATCACTTTTCTCACAGTCCCGTCCAACAAGACTCTGAATATGTCACAATCCTTTCTGTGACAGTTTGAGTAGGAAAAGCAATTTCCAGATTGTTCAACATCTAGGGCTCACAATTTTGGTAACCATAGGCCCATAAACAGTTAGCTCATCACTTTCCCATGACAAGTTATCCTTACACTTCCCAAAGGTTCTCAAATGGAAGAAAAACTCAGATTACATACAGTTAGTCATTAATATAAAGCAGTGAAGTTCTAAAGGAAAGCACTATGATGGTAACACTTACGGCCTTTAAGTCCAGATTTCTAAGCAGAACTTCAGAACAACAACGACAAAAATTTGAATTATTGTCTTTTGTTTCTAACACAATTATTCTGTTTCATGGAGAAGGAGGTTCTGCAGATTAAGCACAGAAATGTAAACCCTTCCCTAAGTGTGTTTCATATTCTTCATATCTCACTGTGTTTTTCAAAATAGTGATTTCTTCATGATTTCTGTCCTATCATCCCCTGGTGTCTAACAGCAATGACTGATTAAATAAGTGGCCAAAAGCACCTCTAGGGAATGCAGGTAAGCAGAGGAGAAGAAAATGTCAAGAATACTTCACCGATTGAATAATTGACTGGTGTTTGTGGTTATCATGATTTCCACACTTGTAAAGAACTAAGAAAAGGGAAAAACATTTTGCTTAGTGCCAAGCAGCTGCAACTGCAGGTTTGATCCTCAGTGAGTGTAAAAGAAGGAATCTGCCAAGGAATCTGACATTACATGTGCACTTAACACCTGACTCAACAGCTGATAACTCTCAGTCATGGATGGATATATTGGATATATAATAATTCTTACAGCATTCACCTATTTAATTTCCTGGAGAAGAACTCACAAGGGATATAAAATTACTCACAAGGGATATAAAATTAAAATTACAGATAGAGTTGGTAATTTTGCTTCAAAAGTTCTTAAAATACCAGGCTGGCATTGTCACAGGAGTGCCCTTTTGGGCCTTGCCATGAGTGAACCCACAGAGTTCTCCATCACCTTTGCTGGACCCAGCTGATCAGAACCACAGAGGCTACAACAACTCCAAATGAGGATTTCTGGCCTGTCCCAGGTGGCTGTGTCCCACCAGCACCCAGAGACATGATGGCTGTGGTCACGTCTGCTTCTCCCACTGGTGCTGCCTTGTATGAAATACAGGAAGATAAAAGTGTCTGTCCACAGGCAAAATTTAAAATAGGTACAATGTAACGAATTCTTTCCTCCCTAAAATGCACCAAAACCAAAAATTCAATCTTTTTGATTGTTTATGGTGGGGTTTTTTAAACAAAAATGATAGGAGAGAAATCTTATCAGGTTCATTATTTTTACTGCTTAACTACAATTCCATATCTCACATGGTCAGTGAAATATACTTCTCATGGTCAATGGATTATGATCAGAATCCAGTTATTACTTCACTGCCACCATTTCATAACCAACTTTCACACCTTCTTTTTGAGTCCCTTAATTTCCCCTTCCAGGCATGGAATCAGCTCAACCACAGTTTAGCTGATTCACTGGCAATAAAGTTTGGTTATAAAGTTGGGCAATAAAGTTTGATTTCCTGTTCCCAATAAAAAAAGCACCAAACACAGCCTCCTCATTTTTCCAGCATTTTGGCTAAACTTGAATTGAGAGATGCCAGCCTGCCCAAACTCCAACGCCATGCAAGCTGGAATTTCCCTGCATCCTTCAAGAACTCTCCTCTTTGTTTTGTTTTTCCTTCTTTTTACCAGGCCTTCTTACAGGTCTTGAATATTTGAATGAATAGCCTGGTCACTCTCCAGCAGCACAAACCATTACTCTCGGCAAAGAAAATTTCATTAGAACTTGTCATGGGAATAGGGTGGCTGAATCCTGGGATCGATTTGTCACAATGAGGGTTGGAAACACTGCTGGAGTGGCAATCTGTAATCCACTGCGCTGACCAGAAAAGTGCTTCAGTTTCTTGTCATTTAGCTGGTCTTACATACTAAGGTTGATGGTATAAAATAGGGTCAGCCCTAAATACAAAAAATAAAATTAATTGGATGCTTGTTGCATGCAAAGTTCATCTGAAATAGGGAATGGGCTGTGGCAATCTGAGATATTGGTTTTCCTATATCACAAAAATACTGAAAAACTAGAACTCTTTGCAGGTAAATTTAAGAAATAATTTTTATATAATTCTTAGTTGACATTTTAAATCATGTTGTAATAATTAATTCCTTTATGTATATTATTTCTATCATCAGAATATTGTTATCATCAACAGTACTGAAGTTAATTATTTTTAAAATATATGCCTAAACCAGAAAAATATTTTCACACGTTGGTAGTAATATTAAAAAAATCTCAGAAATGTGCTGGAACTTTAAGTTAATGAACAACTATTTAAGCAAATAATGAACTCAATGAATAAATTTAAGAAATTTAAAGGTCAATGGCATTCACACAAACATCTGCTCAAAAGCATTCTGTCCTCAATGCCCGTAAATGTCACCCTAAAAATCACCTTGTGTGCTTGGGAAGAACAAACCCAGTAAAATACAGCTGGCTAAGGGGAATTGGGTATTTCAGAGAAAAAAACTTCCAAGCTGGTGATGCATGGCCAGATACAATATCTAATGGAAATTACTGGTGAAATTTTATTTAATCACTCTGGGTGCTCCTCCTCCTATAATTGTCCCATAAGTGCAGAGGCAGAGCCTCA